CGCTGTTGTTTAACAAAGTGTTGGAAGTTCTAGCATCAGCAATCAGACAACAAAAGGAAATCAAAGGCATCAAAATTGGCAAAGATGAAGTCAAGCTTTCACTTTTTGCAGATGATGTGATATTATACATGGAAAATCCAATAGACTCCACCAAAAGTCTGCTAGAACTGATACATGAATTCAGCAAAGTTGCAGGATACAAAATCAATGTACAGAAATCAGTTGTATTCTTATACACTAACAATGAAGCAACAGAAAGCAGAAAGACAAATAAAGAAACTGATCCCATTCACAATTGCACCAAGAAGCATAAAATACCTAGGAATATATCTAACCAAAGATGTAAAAGATCTGTATGCTGAAAACTATTGAAAGCTTATGAAGGAAATTGAAGAAGATATAAAGAAATGGAAAAACATTCCGTGTTCATGGATTGGAAGAATAAATATTGTCAAAATGTCAATACTACTCAAAGCTATCTACACATTCAATGCAATCCCAATCAAAATTGCACCAGCATTCTTCTCGAAACTAGAACCAGCAATCCTAAAATTCATATGGAACCACAAAAGGCCCCGAATAGCCAAAGTAATTTTAAAGAAGAAGACCAAAGCAGGAGGCATCACAATCCCAGACTTTAGCCTCTACTACAAAGCTGTCATCATCAAGACAGCATGGTATTGGCACAAAAACAGACACATAGACCAATGGAATAGAATAGAAACCCCAGAACTAGACCCACAAATGTATGGCCAACTAATCTTTGACAAAGCAGGACAGAACATCCAATGGAAAAAAGACAGTCTCTTTAACAAATGGTGCTGGGAGAACTGGACAGCAACATGCAGAAGGATGAAACTAGACCACTTTCTCACACCATTCACAAAAATAAACTCAAAATGGATAAAGGACCTGAATGTGAGACAGGAAACCATCAAAACCCTAGAGGAGAAAGCAGGAAAAGAGCTCTCTGAGCTCAGTCGTAGCAATTTCTTACTTGACACATTCCCAAAGGCAAGGGAATTAAAAGCAAAAATGAACTACTGGGACCTTATGAAGATAAAAAGTTTCTGCACAGCAAAGGAAACAACCAACAAAACTAAAAGGCAACCACTGGAATGGGAAAAGATATTTGCAAATGACATATCAGACAAAGGGCTAGTATCCAAAATCTATAAAGAGCTCACCAAACTCCACACCCGAAAAACAAATAACCCAGTGAAGATATGGGCAGAAAACATGAATAGACACTTCTCTAAAGAAGACATCCAGATGGCCAACAGACACATGAAAAGATGCTCAATGTCGCTCCTCATCAGGGAAATACAAATCAAAACCACACTCAGATATCACCTCACGCCACTCAGAGTGGCCAAAATGAACAAATCAGGAGACTATAGATGCTGGAGAGGATGTGGAGAAATGGGAACCCTCTTGCACTGTTGGTGGGAATGCAAATTGGTGCAGCCTCTCTGGAAAACAGTGTGGAGGTCCCTCAAAAAATTAAAAATAGACCTACCCTATGACCCAGCAGTAGCACTGCTAGGAATTTACCCAAGGGACACAGGAGTACTGATGCATAGGGGCACTTGTACCCCAATGTTCATAGCAGCACTCTCAACAATACCCAAATTATGGAAAGAGCCTAAATGCCCATCAACTGATGAATGGATAAAGAAATTGTGGTTTATATACACAATGGAGTACTATGTGGCAATGAGAAAGAATGAAATATGGCCCTTTGTAGCAACGTGGATGGAACTGGAGAGTGTGATGCTAAGTGAAATAAGCCATACAGAGAAAGACAGATACCATATATTTTCACTCTTATGTGGATCCCGAGAAACTTAACAGAAACCCAAGGGGGAGGGGAAGGAAAAAAAAAAGTTAGAGTGGGAGAGAGCCAAAGCATAAGAGACTCTTAAAAACTGAGAACAAACTGAGGGTTGATGGGAGGTGGGAGGGAGGGGAGGGTGGGTGATGGGTATTGAGGAGGGCACCTTTTGGGATGAGCACTGGGTTTTGTATAGAAACCAATTTGACAATAAATTTCATACATTGAAAAAAAAAGACTTAAAGTTTCAATAGACCTCTCTAGGTAAATAAAGTATATAAGTTATTACTATCCATAGGAGAAACCAAAGCAGAAGTACTGGGGAAAAGAAAAATAACCAAATTGTCAAATTAATAAAAAATTATTTTTTTTCAATGTCAAGATTTTATGTATTTCTTTGATAGAAACAGATATATTTTAATATGTCACTGTTGTAGATTAGTATTTCAGTTACTTACCAACACATAACAAAAATTAATTATGTTTCAAATACACCACTGGAAATGATTAAATCTCCAGGTAGACCAATGAAATTGTTGTTAAACTGACTTTTATTCTGAAATTAAGATCATACTTAATAATTCTAGAAAATGTTTAAAGGACAAAAAGTTATAAAGAAGACATTTAAATCTAATAAGACAACCACACTTAATGTTTTCATATCTTTACTTTTATACTTTTATACAAGTATTTGTGAACTCATGGAAAGAATGATATTAATTTGATTATAGTTTAGCACCTGATAAGGCAGCTAATAATCCAATTAACATAAGTACTAAGGAGATTTTACTTACTACTATCACTACTATTTAATATTTACATAGTGCCTGCTATGCACTAAATACTTTTCAATGATTAATTCAGTAAATCTTCACAAATACCCTGTGATCACGACCTGAGCTAAGACCAGGAGTTAATGCTTAACCAAGTGAGCCACGCAGGGGTTCCTGTTTATTTTCCTTTTCTTTCTTTCGTTTTTTTTTTTTTTTTTTTGAAAAAAAATCAAATGCTTGTGTGAAATTTTTAATTTGATTTGGAGTTTTATGTCACAATTTCATTTTTCTTTGTAGTTGTCTATGTGAGAAAAACTTTGATAAGCCAATTGATAAACCAAAGTATTGAGTCATACTCTGAGTAGTTTTGAATGGAATCTGTCCAATTATTTTTATATTCCTAGATAATTTGTAAACAAGGTTCCTAGTTCAATAGAACTTCTTTCTGTCATTGTAGTAACATACGGCTTCTTTAATGGGAGGTGTTTTTTTTGTTTTTGTTCTTGTTTTTGTTTTTAAGAGGGGGTTTTAGAGGGGGTTTCTGTTTAGTTTCTACAGGATTCTTAATTTTCCTCATTTACTACCCTCACTTTACCTTCATTAAAACATCTGCAAAGAGCACGTGTCTTCTCTATTTCCGCTTCTCCAGGAAGTAATGATTCCCTGAGGTTATTGCTGTGGCACACTTACCACTTAGTCCCTTCCCCTTAGCTAGTGCTGTGGTTTACCAAGTTCCAGGTTTGTGTTCCACACATTAACACTTGTTAAGTTAAATTTTCTCTTCTGCTTCATGCATAATCTCTTTCTTTTAAATGGAGTCATTTAAGTCTTTCTTCTCCCTCTTCTCATAGATTTGTAATCTCAGTTGGGACTCCAACTGAATCTGTTGGGATATTCTGTTGGGATTTTATATACTTATAGATAATTTGAAGAATATAGTGATCTCTGTGTGGGATTTTCTGTGGTCAGATGTGATTTTATTTGTATTTGTAGGTGATTTTATAATTTGGGGAATGAGGCATGGGAAGTCTCAAATGCATGTGGCTGCTCTTTCCCAATTTGATCTCAAATGACACTTATATTTTGGTCATTTTTTATGATCATTATATGCATTTTACCTGTTTTTATTAATAATCTAAAACAAGGAGTAATATAATTTCCTCATGTTAAATAATTACTCTATTTCTGAAATAAATCCTATTTGGTAATACTTGATTATATTTTAATTTGCTGATGGGTCAAATTTAAATGGACACATTTTAGGATTTTGGGATATATCCATATTCATAAGTGATACTTCATATTGTTTTCTTTTTGTGTGTGGTATCATTGTTAGATTTTGTTTGGAGGGATATTCTAGCTTTATAAAAGTAATTGGATAACTTGTATGAAATGTTTTAATCATTTGTCCTATTCTTTCCTGAAAGGAATGAAGAAAATAAGTAATAACCTTGATTAATTTGCTTATAAATAATTTTGGTATATTTGAAAAATAATTGTAGTTGTTTTTTCTTGAGTCAATTTTAATTATGGGATGTTTCCTTGACAATAATTCATTTATTAAGATTTTTCAAATTAATAATTATAGAGTTGTGTTTATTATCTATTTAAACTTGTGAACATTTTCCTTATTTGATATACACTTTCTCTTTTTCAATGTAACTATTTATGCATCCCATTCTATTAACCCAGACTTGCCAGAAGTTTGTTTTTGTTTAGGTATTTTCAAAGAACTGAGATTTTTTTCCCTTTACCAATTCTATACTTATAAATTTTAAAGTATGAATTTTTACTTTATTATAACTTAAGCTTTAGTAGTTTTCATTGGGGTTTTATTATTTTATTTATTGAGATGAATGCATGCTTCCTTATTTTAATTTAATAATTAAATAGGCCTTAAAAATTCACATTTTTAAAAAAGTTTCAAAAACAATTTTCTTGTAGTTCTTCATCTTTATTTTTTAAATAGAATGTATGTTTAGTTTTTATTTCTTCTTTTGCTCTAAAACTAGTTTAGGAGGGTTTGCTCTTTTTAATTTTTGTTCACTTATTTTTAATTTTCAAGTGGTTTGAGATTTTATCTTGTAGTTGCTTAAAATACTTTTATTAATTTTAGTTTCATCGTATTTTGAACAGGTAATTTGTTAAGTATTATTTATTTTATGTAGAAACTAAGGAGTTTCAGGGGGTACCTAATATATTATCATATTTTCTAATTTACCTATGAGCCCTCACTATCTGTAGGAAACAAATTTATCTAAGTAAACTTTATTAATTATACTATTTATATTGTATTTAATACTTTACAAATTTAAAAAAGTAAGTAATTTAGCCACAATTCAAAATTAGCAGATTCTATGCAACAGTCCAAACTTGGCATTTTTGTAAAAATTGGAATATGTAGCAATACATTTTCATGGATCTGAGAGGCAGCTGCCCCTTTAGAAAGTGCAGGAAATTTCCAATTAACTTTAGCTCTCACCATGCAAGCACAGTGCATGCATATGCACTTATATCCAATTTCACTCATTTATCTTTGCCTGTTCTCTGTTAAGTATTTCAGTTTATAATCCTCCACTCTTTCTTGATGTTATTAACCTAACCTATCACCATGGCAGATTACAAAAACAACCAGAAAATTCTTCCCATTTCCATACACATGCCCTGTTGCCATGTGACCCTACAGCTCTTCCCACAAGGTGGTCCAGCCTATTTCCCTATCCTTTTGATCTGGGATTAGCCAGTGATGTGGCACTCAGTGGGAGAGAAGCATTATGATACAAGTAGAGCCTTGAAAGGTTTGCGCAATGGAGGTTGCCCTTTATCTTGCTGTGCTTGGAACCCTGGACCACCATGTGACTGAACACTAACTTGCCTGCTGGAGAACAAGAAGCCACGCAGAGGATAACAGTGGTGCCACTGAGCCTCAACAGTGAGTAGACAGTCAAATGTTATGCTTTCGGTTGAGCTCACGGCTTGCTCTTAGCTGCACTCTGTACTCTTCCAAATTAGGGCAATTTATGGCATTTGTACAGGGTCCCTGGAAAGCTAAAATTTCTTAGGACTGTGCTTTCCTGAAATCTGACAACTTCTGGTTGATGAGAGCCACCCTTCCTTAATTTACAGTAATGTATTTAATTTTCTTCTGTTATAGTTATTTGAACGTATCATTTGAAAATTTAAAAAGGGAGGTTGGATGCTTATATTTGCTCGAAAAAGTGAATAGGAGTTTCACAAATTGCCCCAAAGTTTATGACCATAGTTTGTAAAAATGTCTTCCAAACTCAGTAGACACATAAGAAGAGGAGCATCTTGGCAATGCTCAAATATGACAGGGTAGTGAATATTGCCAGCTAATTAGAAAGTTTTTTTTCCCCAAGTTTTAGCTTTTAAAAATGTGGGAATAGGGATTTTCTAGCTTAGACTTCCAATAAAATATGTGAATTTGTCAGATAAGTTAAACCATATGAGTCCATTTAGCTCAACATGTAAAACGGCTCAATGTAAAAACAAAACACAACAGAAAAGCATATGTATTACAGCACTGGCTAATAAGGTTGGCATTGATACAATATAAAAAAGCAAAACTAAGAAGAAAAATAAATTTGAATATTAAATTGTAAAAACAATATTACAAATACATTCTAGTTTTTAAAGGGAGAAAACATAAAACCTGCCTATTCTTTTCTTACAAGTAGAAGAAATGCCCACAATATCACTGGCTGAAACATCATATAGAAGTTCTATAACTAACAGACCCAGGCTGATAAAGTTTCTAGTGTTAGGAATCAGACTAATTTTCTCTTGCTCTGCTCTCCTCGGTACATAGTTTTCAACTCATGATTTAAGATGGTTGATTGAGCTCCAGCCATTTTACTGACATTCTTGTGAGGAGGAATGACGAGCATCAGAATAAAAAGAATCCTTGCTTTAAACAAAGCTTTGTATTATACTTCTATTTAATTTCCATTGGTTAGAACTTAGTCACATGATCACACTATCTCCAGAGACTAGCCAGGAAATATATATTATGGCCAGTCTGTATCTGGCTATAACTCAGGAGCTGTATTACTAAAAAAGAAGAGAATAGATATAAGGACAATTAGCAGTCTTTTCTACATTTCCTCATAGATAACCATTGTTTCAAGATTGATGTAAGTCCTTTAGACTCTTTTCTGTTTTTACATATTAATGTATATTTTCCCCCAAATTTAATATAATAATATAATCTTTGAGTAAAACACACACACACACACACACACACACACACACACACACCCCACATAGAACTAGTCAGGTTTAAAAAAATTTTTTTTTAATGTTTGTTTATTTTTGAGACAGAGAGAGAGAGACAGAGCATGAACGGGGGAGGGTCAGAGAGAGAGGGAGACCCAGAATCTGAAACAGGCTCCAGGCTCTGAGCTGTTAGCACAGAGCCTGATGCAGGACTCAAACTCATGGACCACGAGATCATGACCTGAGCCGAAGTCTGACGCTTAACCAACTGAGCCACCCAGGTGCCCCAAGTCAGTTTTTTTAAGGCTGCACAGAACTTTAAAGAACTATTTTTGTCACCTTTAAATTATCAGCACATAAAAGATGGTAGGCACGCAACAAGTGTTTACTGATTATGATGATATTCTGATTAATTCAATCATTCCCTTTTAATGATTTTAGAAATCTTCCTTTTTCTGGCCTATTATAATGAATAGATGTTTAATCTTGCAACTTAGTGCATATTCAATTGAAAAATGTTTCTTGGAGATTGCCACACTGATATTTCTAGAAATGAATGTTTTATTATTTTAATAGATGATGTTTTGTCACTGACACCCACCATAGTGACAAAAGCAGTATTATTATTATTATTTTGAGAGACAGAAAGAGAGAGAGAGACAGAACACAAGTCGGGAGGGACAGAGAGGGAGACAGAATTTGAAGCAGGCTCCAGGCTGTGAGAACAGAGCCAGGCACAGGGCTTGAACTCACAAACTGTGAGATAATGACCTGAGCCTAAGTCAGACGCTTAACCAACTGAGCCACCCAGATGCCCCACAAAAGCAGTAAAATTAGTTTAGTTTCTATATTGTCACTCTTATCTCTAAGCCTCTTCCAAGAAACCACATGCCATCCCTTCTCCAATATTCTCTCTCTTCATCAGGCCCCATGCCCATTCACATAATGATCTAATTTTAAAGTCCTTCTAGGAACAGTTTAGTTTTCAGTAGTCTCCAAACCCCAGCTTTTCTTTTTCAGTTTAAATATTTTGGCTTAAGTATTTAAATTTATATTTTATTTATATAAATATATTCTCTCTCTCTCTCTCTCTCTCTCTCTCTCTCTCTCTCTCTCTCTCTTATATTTTTAGCGGAGTTTATGGCATTTCCCTCCCTGGAGCTTACCATTATTCTTCCTTTATCTGTTTTTTTTTTTTTCCCCTGTATCTCTTATGTAGTACTTATCCTATAAATACCTGTTTATCTTCAAATTATAAAATTCTTGAAGCAAGAGCTTTATGTTCATTGTCCTCTATCCTCCTAATAAGTATTTTTCACACTGCTTTGCCCACAGTAGATTTGAAAAACAAAAACAAAAACAAAAAACAAAAAGTCTTTGGACTTGCATGTTCTATGTTATATGGTGAAGGAAATATGTGTTTTTATACAAACCTAAATTTTGACAGAAAAGGAATAGGTGCCAGGCAGTGTGCTGCCAAAGAAAATCTCTGTTATTATGAAGAAGTCATTGCCTTTATGTTTTTTCCCATATCAAGCCATTAGCCAGAGCTTCCAACTTGAGTAGCCTAGGTTTTAATGTTTTCAGTCCTCATATTGAGGCACACCTCCACATATGCTTGCTGGACAACCTTGTACAAGAGGTATCACTACCCTATTAACACTGAGGACAGGTCAGAGGCTATGAGAAGGTGAGTAGTGTGCCCAATGTTATAGGTGAAAAAATTGTGGAGTTGGCCATGCCCACCATAGTGTGCTTGCTAAATATGATAAGTTGTTTTGCTTTTAGAGTTTCTGCATGATCTCTTTCTCCTAACTGCCTGCCTAATATTTATTCACTAATCCATTAAAAAAATTGGCATGTATATGCTTTTAAATTATTACTCTTATTTTTCTGACTTTTGATTTGCCCCTAAGCAATACTCATACTAGGAAAGTAATTAGGACATAAAGATTAAGACATGTTAGTGGATATGCATGTATATGAATGAGCAAGTAAGGCATTACAGGCAATTATAAGAATCTGAATAATTCTCACACTGAATAACTTGGAAAAACTCTTGGAAGGTTTTGGGGAGACAGTGGTATGATCTGACTTACACTTTTAAATAATCCATTTGGCAACTGTGTTGAAAATAGATTACAGTAAGAAACAGCTACAGCATGATAAGTAGTTAAGAGGCTATGGAAGTAGTCACAGAGAAAGAAAATGGTGGCTTGCACCAATGGGTAGTGGTGGGGTTGTGAAAAATGATCATATTTAGGATATATCCCAGATTTATAGCCAGAAAAATCTGTTGGTGCATAGTGGAGGTATGGCAGAGAAAAGAGAAGTCAGGGTAATTTATAGGTTTCGGACTGAGTAAACTAAAGATTGGAGTTGCCATATACTATAACAGGGAAGGCTTTAGGTAGAATAGGTTGAGGAGAGTGAAATCAGGAATTCTGTTTTGCGCATATAATGTTTGGGATACCCGTTAGACATCTAAGAGAAAACGCTGAGTAGGTCGTAAGAAATAAGTGTCTGCAGTTCCAGTGAGATACCTGGGCTAAAGAAACAACTTTGGAAATGGTTAACTCGTAGATGATAATTAAATTCTTGAGACTGGATGCGTTCAGCAGAAGCTGAAGAGTAGATAGCAAAGAAAGTATTGGATGTATGTTGGATCTCTCCATCTAGTCTGCATATTGCCCCACCTCTCATTTAGCTATCTAGCTCTTGGAGAACAAGAATTCTGTGTTTGATATTTTATGTATTCCCCACAATGCCAGCTATACATTAGGCCCTAATAAACACTTACTTAATGCTGAGTGAGACTCAAGCTACAAAGTTATTTATAAATTGCAGTGGTTCAGGCATTTATCCTGCAGCATTAAAAGGGATTTAAAAATAATACAAATGCTGCAATTCCCAAGAGGGAATGCTGCCATCTTCAAAGAAAAAGATCATCAGAAGGAGTTATTTTAGTGATGTAGAGACTTTTTCAACCTTGTGAGAGGTCATTTTAAGGCTGCTTGTGAACAGAGCATATAGAAAAAATCTCTGCCTGAAATGCCTAAATTGCAAATCCACAAATCAATGAAATGCAAACCAAGGATAATGACTACAATTGAGTGGATTTTTATTTTCATTACAGTAAAATTTTCAGTCTAGAATTCACTTAAGACTGCCATGATAGATGTTTTTAGAGCTCCAGATCAGGAGAAGATAAGTTCTCTGTAAATGAGAAAGAGCTAGCTCCCAGAAACAGTTAGCATGTAGGAAGTGAACCTACACTTGCTATTCTCCTAGTGATTCTGTGCAGTATTAAGTGAAATATGCAATGAGTATGAGACACAGTCGGATGTCCTCAGACAGGTATCGGGAGCCTCTGTGGTCACCTCCTCCCTTGATACAGTTGAGACTTGCTAGATGCTCAGTTTTTATTTGTTTTTTGATCAGGGAAATCTTTATTTATTTTAAGGCCTGTCACTATAATGTCATCAAATTACAAAGAGAAACTCAAAATGATTAAGACTTAAAACAGCTGAAATCTATAGTATCCAAATGACAGGCAAGAGTAAACTCCAATCATCTCTCAATGTATGGCTCTATTTCTAAATATTCTAAATATCTTGATATTGGTATATGAATTTAAAGCAAATTCCTCAAATGGGAATGGTACACTCACTGCTAGATATGAGCAAATTTTTAAAG